TCCCTGGAGGAATCTTTCCATGAGGCTTTGGAAGACTCCTGGGGCAACGCTGATTCCAAACTGGAGTCGGTTGCATCGGAATGCCCCCCGGTGTGTGACAATCGTTTGTGCCCCGGCTGTCTCGGCGTCGACCGGCAGTTGCTGGTAGGCTTGCGCCAGGTCGAATTTTACAAAGACCCGGCCTCCCCCCAGTGAGTGCAGAAGGTGCTGTACTACTGGGGTGGGGTAGGCGCTTTGCTGCAGCGCGTGATTGAGGATGGCCTTATAGTCACCACAGATTCTTATGGAGCCATCTGGTTTGATGGGGTTGACTATGGGTGTTTCCCAGCGAGCATGGTCAATTGGCTCTAAAACCCCTTGCGTGATGAGCTTGTCTAGCTGCTCGTCGATTTTCGCCGCGGTTTGAGGCGGATCGGGGCGACGTTAGGGTTAATGTTGAAAGAAATAGGGGCCCCTCGGTACTTGCCTAGGGTGTCGTCGAAGACCTCCTGGAAGTCCCTCACGAGCATCGCTTCCCAGTCTGCCTCGTCTGTGTGGTGGATGCCCGTCACTTCTATTCCCAGCGGGGAGAACCATTGCAGCCCGAGTAAGCTGGGGCGGTCTTTGTCTACGATCGTGAGTAGTAACACCTCGGTGTGGCCTTTGAAGGTGATTTTAAAATGTCCGATGCCGGCTACTGGGATGCGGTTTCCCTGGTAGTCCTTTAGGGTTAGTTTTTGGTCGTCTAGCTCACGGCGGCGGATGGTTGGCACTAGGCGCTTGATTGTGCGCCAAGAGACCATGGAGAGGTAGGACCCGGAGTCCACTTCCATCTCACAGGGCTGGTCTTCGATGCCTACCTCCACGTGTACCTTCTGGGCGTCAATGGTCGAGGAATGGCCGATGACGACTGTCTGGTGGGTTTCTTCTCGTCGCTGCGCTTCGCTGAGTCATCTGTTCCGGCCATCGTGGCTCCATCGGCTCTCGGCTTGGCGGTCTCGGTTTCTGGGGGGGTTGCCATCTCATCGTCAGGGGCTGCTGCCTCATCGTTGGGGGCTGTAGTTCTTCTTGTTCCGGCACACCTTGGTGATGTGCCCTCGCTTCTCGCAATGCTGGCAGATGGCATCAAGAAAACGGCATTCAGAGTGGGGGTGATCGCCGCCGCAGCCGGCACAATGGAACCCCGACTTACGTCCCCTCCGGTCCCGTCGATCGCACTCAGCCTGGAGCTGGTGGATCTCCTCTTCCTCGTCGTCGGTGTCGAAATGGGGGTCGATGTCGCCGTGATGGGTGGTCATTTCTCAGTGGCTGGTTTCCGCAGGTCTCACCGGTACTGGGGTTGCTTCATTGGTTGATGGCCGTTCCGTTGCGTTCACCTGCCTCATCCAGGCCGCCGAGTTGCGGGTGGCCTCGGCTGCGGTTGCCTTGGTGAGGGTGTTGGCGAGGGAGATGTCGCCCTTGGCCATCAGCCGGCTTTTGAGTACAGGGTCTCTGAGCCTGAGGACGACTCGGTCGCGTAAAGCCTCGTCCAGCTCGGCAAACCCGCACAGGCCCCCTGGGTTCCTCAGTTGGGCCACGAAGTCGCCAATGGTTTCGCCCTCGTGCTGATCTCGACAGTAGAAATCGTGCCTTCGGATGAGTATGGGCACGGCAGGGGCATAATGGTGGCGTAAGATGGGCTTGAGGTCAGCCCAGTCCATCTCCTTCACATCGGCGGGCTTGGCCAGTGCTTTGGCCATCTTGAATACCGCGGGCCCGCAGTGCATCAAGAATATGGCCCGTTTTCTCTGCCCGTTGGCATCCTTGAGATTGCTGTACTCCAGGAACATGTGGAAGCGGTCGGTGTAGGATTTCCAGTCCTTGATGGCTGGGTCGAAGGGAGCAGGTGGTGGGGTGCTGCTGGCCATCTTGCTGGTCATTTTGCGCCGTTTGCCACGTGCTGGGTGATTCCTCGCCTCACAATCCCACCCTCGTCGCCAGTGTTAGGTCTGGTAGATCGGTTCTGGGTAGATCGGGTCACATTGAGAGGTGAGACTCAAAGTGCACATTCAGCTCTTTATTGAATATACAGAACAGTTCAAGACCTGCGAGCCACTTGGCTTTATTCAGCCGGCCGGCGGCTCGGCGGCCAATGGCAGTGCTTTGGATCTCCCGCGATCGGCTCGGCCAATCGTGGTAGACTCTTAGCGCACCAATCACAGGAGTTTAGTTAGCCAATCAAGTTGCGGTCCGTGTGGACCAATCAGAACTCGGGGTTTCAAGAATGTTAATATAGAACATCCATTCATGTATGGTTTTCTGGATTTTAGAGGCATTATGTAGTGCTTGGTAACTTCAACCAATTTGGATGTATGAAACAAACTAATTTAGAACAATCTGTAACCCTAATTTTAAAAATTTGAAAATAAGACAATTTTTTAAATTCAGTGTGACTTCTTTTAGTGGACATACTTAGGATTTACAGATTTGCTATCAAAGCCCCCCCCCCCCCCCCATGCAAAAAAACTTAATACAAAATGGGAGACTATGCCATTTTAACATTAATATTTTAAGACTGAATGACTGCCACATTGTACTTGCAGCAAACAGGAGCTGATGATTCTTTATTTCTGTTGCACAATGTAGATTCCTTGCTTCAGTTAATCTATATTGCTTGTCAATATAGCAGTTAAGAATAGTCCAGTAGGTTATTACGTGGATTTGAATGAATATTAAAAAACAATGTAGTGTCTAATGTAAAGATCCATCTTCAAGTTTTACCCATCTAAGATCTCCCACAGTGACTCTGTACTAGTCTATGGCTGGATTTGCAAAACACAGTTGCTTAAAATGTAGTAAATTAGTTGTATAGCCTAATCCTGTGATGGCGAATCTATGGCATGCATGCCACAAGTGGCATACAAGAGCCATTTGTGCTAACATGCGAACCGCAGGCAAACTTACCTCACTGCGCATCTGCACGCCTCACATCTGATTTTTCAGCTGGTTTGAGGCCTTTTTCGGCCTCCCAGAGGCCTGGAAAAAGCCTCTGCAAGGCTTTTTAGGCCGAATAGGCCTGTTTTGTCACTTCCTGTAATACCGGAAATGACAAAATGGGCAAATTATTTGTCCTGAGAAGCCTTGCAGAGGCTTTTTCCAAGCCTCTGGGAGGCCAAAAAAGGCCTCAAACCAGTTGAAAAATCAGCTGTGAGGCGCAGTGCAGGTAAGAGGGTGGTGGTGAGTGGCATGGGGGGATTGCGTGCGCATGTGCAGGGGCGTGGGGGGGGGCACACATTGCATTCTGGGTGCTGGCATGCGAGTGCGCCCGCGCTAACGTGCGTGCAATTTTTGGCACAGGAGCCACTACTGGCCTAGTCATACAATATCATTAACATAATTACCAAAGTAACCAATTTTCTGGGTTTAGACTTTATATCAATCCATATCAAACTAACTAAAGGCAAAACAAATCAAGCTTACCCTTGGTGCACGTTGTTTTATCTTTCTCAATGATCTTTGTATTGTGTGAAGTAGGGTGGTTCTGCACTTTCTACCTGAAGAGAAAAAAGTGCTTCACACACAGGCCTGTCTGCTCCTCCTTGCAATGCCTTTTCCCAGGTTTGTGTACCCCACTCCCCCAATTGTTAAGTTATCTAGACTGGTGTTCGAGATCTTACTGGTGTGTGTGAGATCTGTGGGAATGGCAGGTGCACAGGGATGGCAAAGGATACTCGACAAAAAAATCCTAAGCAGATCTATACTCAGCTAAATAAAAGCACGGAGCTCCTTAAACACGGAGACCATTTTTAGAGATCATTTTCATTATATATCAAATCTTCACTAAACAGGAGCCATAATAATTTTTAATAATCATTTTGAGAACCATCTTTTAAAAAATTATTTATTTAAAAATATTGCCATTTGAAAAAAATAACATAGTAACATTCCGCTCGAGATATTTTTTGCGTGAATTTTGTTTTGAAAGGCTTGGAAATAGTGGTTTTTTCCTTAGCTTTTGAATTTAAAAACAAACACCAAAGAGACCGAATTTTTCCTTTCGTCTCTTTCAACCGTTTCCAAGGCCCAGCCGCTAATTGGGATAGATCATCTCCAGTAGAAGAACTCGCGCGGCTTCTTTTCAATAAAGGTTGTGAACCTTACCCGCGACGGTTCGGAGTGGGAAGTGTTTTTAAACAGCAAGCTCCAGTTTTTCCTGCCTCGACTTTCTGAAACGCCCGCGCTGTTATTGGAGCAGGTAACTTTGGGAAGACTCGTCAAAGAAGAGGGAAAGCTGAGCCACTCGACCCCACAGCTCTCCCCTCCACCTCCACCCCGATCTCGGCGGCTTTGGAGGCTGCAAAACTGCTCAGCTTTGTATAATAGCCAGCAGAGGGAAGCCGGGGTTTTCTTTGCAGCAGGAGCGCGCTTGGTTCTTTCGGTAGGCAATACTGCAGGCTTCTGGACTGCGTCTGCTTCTCGAGGGAGACCCTGCCTATTATAGTTCCACCCACCGACTGGATGGAGCGGGCTTGAATAAAAGAGAAGAAAAGCCCCAATACCTCGGGTCCCTCCGTGAGGGTGACCGCAGAAACTAGGCTGAGGCGAGCGAGGACGCGCTCCCTGCCGTCATTCCTCCCTCCTTTTCTTGTCTTTTTTTTTCAGAGCTCTTCCTTCCCACTCCCTCCTTTTCTCTTTTTAGTAAGCGGGTGGAGGGATCGTGAGAAACCGCGAGGAAGCCGATCCGAGGAGATCCGGACTTCGTCTTGCTGTTTTTTTCTGAAAGGACTGGTACCCCCTCCCGGTTCACACCCCCTCTCCAGACCCTGGCAATTGACATTACTTAAGAACAGCAGCAGGAGGGGGGTCCCGCTCTAACGGGGGGAGGGCGGAGAAAGCAAAGCAAAGCAAGACCCGTTTTCGATGGACTTTTCGATGTTTTGATTTTTTAAAAAAAATAAATCTTATTTTTAATTTTTGCGGCGGTTGACGCGGCTGATGCTAGTGAGCGTTTAGAAGGCAAAGAAGTCCGAGGGAGGAAAAAAGAAGCCACCTTGGTTAGGACTGTCAGGAATAGTGGCTTTAACCGAAGAAAGGCCTGGGGCACGACTCCCTGTCAACGAGTTGCCTGCATCCGAGATAAAGATTCTAGCTACATGGGCAAACGCTTGGAACAGCAGCAAATGTTCCCACAGTACACATACTACTATTCCCATTATCTCCAAACCAAGGTATGTGGCGAGCTTCCTGGGGTTGTCCAGCGTGCCAATTCCAGATATAGTTGACTAGTGGAAATTGCAGGCGTTCTGGTGCTCTGTCTCTCTCTCTCTCTTTCTGCCTTTGAGTTCCTGCCTCTTAGTAAGGAAGTAGTAAGTAGTACTAACAGCCAAACAAATCAGCCCAGAAAGAAAGAAGGGAGAAAGAAGGTTGGAATTGTTTTCTAGGAAAGTGTGCTTCAAAAACGGAAGGTATGATCTCTTTGATCAAGTTGTTTGCTTATTGGGAGAAACTTCCATGTGCCGGAGGTGCATATCCATGTGGCCCTTCTTGAATAAGATTGGAAATGGCACTACCCAGTTGGCAAACTGCTCCCAGAACAATCATTCTTGGCACTGGCTCAATTAAAAAAAACTGGTTGGCTGTGGAGATTTGGAATTGATGGGGGAATGACACAAGAGGGAAAGAAACAATGAAAGTCATGATAAAGAAGGCATGATGGATCCTCCCTGATTTTGTCTGACACATATGTAGGAGCCAGCAGGGTCATAGGAAGGCAAAGAGGCGACCCAATCTAATCTTTGGGAAATGCAATGGGGGACACATGCCAAGGTGCTTGTTTCATTAAATATTGATTATGGGTAATCATATACTATTACATTTGAAAAGTCTGGAAAAGCCTAGTACTTTTTGTTGGTGTGAGCAAGCAAATTGCAACCACATTTTTTGTCTTATGGTGTGTGCATGCTGTAATGAAGTGGCAAATTGGGCCTTAATCTGCCAGAAGGTCTCAGAATAAACACATAATAAATCAGCTGAAATGTGCACTGGAAATATTTTTCAAATGCACATTGCACAGCTTGGATAACCTGGATTTCCTAACAAACTTTTCAAAATAAAGCTCCATCATTTTATTCTACCTACAAATCATTTACCATTTCAATTTTTAAAACAAATATTCAAAGTTGGATTTTAGAAAAGTGGCCTACAATGTCAACTCTTTATTGTTATTTTATTTTATTTTTTTCCAAAAGGAAAACAATCTTTTTTAGCTTTTGGTGCCACATCTGAAAGCCATGAAGTGAGATGTTTGGTGGGCAGGGGAATAGAATTGAATGAATGATATTTTTTTTTACCTCTGGGTGTGATAATTAAGTTCAGTTTGTCACTTCAGAAATGACTTTTTCTTGCTTACCTACTCTTAAGTCAAATGAACTGCTTGTGAAAAGCACCAATAATGCATATGTTTAACACTCAAGATGACCTAGCTTCTCTCTCTACAGTGATTTCTTCCTTTTCTTAAAAAAATTATAACCTGGATATCACTAATATATTCTATGAACAGTGGTGTGCCAGTTATATTAAACATTTTGGGCATTTTTGAATAGTTGTTTTCATAATTAGAGGTTGTTTTTTCTTCTCAAGGTCGATTGAAATAACATTTTGCTTCTACAGCCATTCATTATATATATTTCTGCTGCTTCTATTTTAGCAGCAGCAACGAACTGCTTTATTATCTATAGCTTGACCTCCTTGGAAGAATGAAAATGAGACACATGGAATTCCTAAAAACTGGCCCATCAAGACAACGAAACAATTTAGGAAGATTTGTTTTTCCTCTAAAGAACAACAGCTTCAAGTTCAGGATGAGGCACCACCATTGGATGTTGCATCCCTTTGACTCATGTAGTGTAGTTTAAACAATGCCAGTCTTACTTACTGCCTTGAAGCTTCTGATTTTGACTTTGCAAAACACACTTTTGAGAAATCCTATTATTGTGATGAACGTATTATTGTCATGAACCTTTTGCATAAGGGTAATGCATACAATGGTAGAATTAAGACATGCAAAATTGCAGTTGAAGAAAGAAATGGCTAGGAAAATACATTTTTTTTCTTGTAGATGCCCATTATCACAAGCAGGCCCTTTCCAAAGCCTACATAATATTGTATATTAAATATTATCTTTAGTGACAATAATTTTATTTTTTACTGAAGTTGAATTGATGTATTAGTTACAAATGTATACATTGTTAGAATTGTCTAATATAGTTCAATATTGGAACTATAAATCAAAAATCTGTAATTATCAGGTTATTCCTCTATATTTAACATTTTTTTTCTTTCTTACATGATCATAGACATCAAACAAAGATTATGAAATAAACTTAACACTTGTGTGTGTGTGAATGTGTCTATGCACGCACATTCGCCACTATTAAGCCCATTTAAAGTGGTACAAAAAAGCAGCACTTTTTAAAGTTATGACTTTCTAGAAGTGATTTACTTTTACAGAATCTTTTAATCATTTATTGGGATAATGATCTGGGTATCAAATAACTATAAAAGCATTAATTTGTGTTCCAAATATAATGTATGTGTTACATAGTTTTAAAAGAATAATGTCAGGGACATAACTTGAATGTAATATAAACAGAATGTGCAATCAATATGAACTCTGGTTTGAAAATCAATAACCTTAGTGGCAGGGGAGTTAATAGATATTATATAGATTTATTACAAAGGTTAAAGTGCAACAGATGAATCATAATTCAATTTGTTTCATTGTTTTATTAAATTTATTCTTTACTTTAGTTTTTCTTTTCTTCCAAACAGCTTTCATGAATCTTTTTTTCTGTTGTTTTAAAGTGTGCCATTATGGGGTATGGCTTTAAGATTTATTACAAAATAAACTTCTGACTCTTAATTATAGCCAACCCATCATACAATGTCAAGCAAAATATGAAGATCTTATTCATTATTATATGATGAATTGTGTGTAGCACAACTAATATCTCATACAAAAATTAAATGAATGTGATTGAATTTTGTTTTAGATATTAAAATACAATGTTAGTTTTGGATTGACTCAGCCTAAACACATTCAGAAATTACATTTGTAAAGTTTGAAATCTTTGAAATGCTAATGAAAATATAAGTGTTATGTGAAACTGTCAGACTATAATAAAGTGAGTTTGAAATTTTATTAACACTATTGCTAGATTTTTAGTATTGCAAATAGTTATTCCAAACATGAAGTGACTTTCATAAAACACATTTTGTGACTATTATAAAATACATTACAGTACATGATTAGATTACAAAATCATATTTTTAAAAAACTTCAAATGGTCTCAGTGCAAAAGAAGTATTGATTACTGCATGCTTTATTTATACTTATGGTAAAAGTATAAAATTTAAAATTAGTTTATGGATAGTTAATTCAAAACATATTCTGTAGTTGGGTTGCTAAACTCTAGAAATAAAATAATTTCTGCTAATCATAAAAGAAATTCTTGAAACTTCTTTATTAGCTAACAAAAGAACTTAACTTTTTATATATAGGGAATGATTGCATTTGAGTCGTTATTGAAGCTAAGTTAGTTTTGCAAATGGAAGATTGCTGTTTTTTTACCAATGAACCAAATCAGAGGTGATGCTTTACATTATTTATGAATAGACAGGAAATTTGATTCACTGTGTTCAGGAAAGAGAACAGTATTGAAAATTAACTTTTTTCCCATTATATGTGTAGCTAGTTGAGTTGAGGTTTTTGGACTGGTATAATTTGAATGTTATAATAAATCATGATTTTATTCTGATTGGCCAAATGAAACTTTACGAAGAAAGTCCATAAAAGAAAGTACCAAATCAGATGTTTAATATATTGGAAAAATTAAGATACTTAATCTGTCCAATAGCACAAGAATCATATATTATGCACATATATTATGTTTGAAATGTGTTTGAAATAAAAAAGTAATAAGTTGATACAGAGAATTGCAACCACACTTTAACATTATTTTTACTATTTATTATTGTTATTATTGTTGTTATTTTTATTTGTTTATCCCATTTTTTTTAGAATAAGCATTTTAATCTGTGAGGGGTCCTTAGTGCTCTCAGAGTTTGGTTGTTTTGTTGCAGATGTTTCATTATCTAAACTGGTAATATCATCAGTGCTGTTACTTAGTTTGGGTAATGAAATGTCTGCAAGAAAACAGCCATGCTCAGAGAGCACCAAGGACTCCCCATTTCAATGCTGAGTTACAAATATTCTCCCTTATTGGCATTTTAATCAAATTTGCTTATTCCCACATAGAGGTGATTTTTGTATGGCAAAAATCGGAGTAAGATTTATATAGTGATAGTTTTGAAATACTGTATCATTTTTTTTACAGGGTTACGTTTTAAGGTATTAGCCTTTTGACATACTTTAGTTAAATCCATTTTTACATGCACGTAATACACTTGTCCTTGTGTGAAATGTAAGAAACTTTTCCTGTGTTACTCTTAAAAAACATCTTCCCCCCTCCAATTGTTTGTTTGCTTTTCGGCCATTCATTCTATTCAAATACTCCTTTCTCAGTTTACTACATTTTTGCTGCTTTTGGCCATCAGTCTTTTCAGAATGTCTTGAGGAAGAGTTCCAGATAGCAAGATGCTTCAAAAAGCCTTTCTGGCTAGTTATGTTCACTTTGTGTTTTGTGCCTGGTGTGAAGCAAGGGTCAGGGTATAAGGACTATTTCATCAACCGCACACTGTTTTCAGGCTGCACTTCCAACCATCTGTAGCTTGGATTGTTGCCAGGTCTCCAATGTAATGCTAGAGCTTACAGTACAGAAGTGAAGACAAATAAGTGAAGGCAAATAGAGAAAAAGAAGTACATTTATAAGAATGAAGTTGATATTTATTTAGATGCTTGTTAGCGCTGATAAATTATAATATCTCTCCGCCCCAACCATATCTTATGAGGCTCCCAGAATCAGGTGTTTCATACAAGGATAACAATGGATTGACCTTTGATTGTAATCAAGAATTTGGAGTAATATCTACCCTGGGCACCATGCCAATTACTTTGCTATTAGACTAGGAAAGCTTGAGGTTTTTTTCATTTAAAATCTGAGCAACATGTTATTATCTAATTTGCTTTTTAAAATTATGTTGCTATTAAGGTCACAAAATATTTAAATAAACTTGACCATGTTGATGCTGTTGATTTTCAGTTTATTTT